TTCTCTCTTACCACTGCTGAGGCAGGACTGGAGCCCCACCCCTAGCTGAGGCTTCCTGGAGCCGCAAAGCCAGGAGAAACACGTCTGAGCATTAAAGCCAAAGCTCTCCACTTATGTGGAGGCCAGAGTCCTGGAGATTGGGTAACTAGTGAGTGATATCTGGGATGGGATCCCAAAAGTCATGGCTTCCTGTCTCCATGATGGACTGGCTCTGAAGCGCCCGAAGAGAGGACTTAGTGTCTGCACGCTGTCTTTCTTTGGAGAGATGTGGTAACTTCTGGAATACTTAGGCTCTCATCTCCAGATCAATATTTATGATTTCCCAATCTCTTGGACACTCCAGAGAATGAAGTAAGTGGTGGGGGGAACCCTGAGGGTGTGGCTTCTTTGCCTTTTTAATGGAGATCGACCAGCAATCAAAGGTGGGGCTAAAATTATCAAACGGTTTCAGTGCTCAGGTCTCTGCCGTCAGAGGCAGCAGAGCGAGATTTGTATTTTAAAATAGCTTGACAAAGCAGATCATGAAAAATGACCAATCAACTAGTAATCTATAGTTCTAGGCTCTTTAGTGCTCTCTCTCTCTCTCTCTCTCTCTCTCTCTCTCTCTCTCTCTCTCTCTCTCTCTCTCTCTCTCTTCCCCACACATACACACCAAGCAAAAATTCTGCTGTCCATAAACAATCCTCCTCTCCTGCACCCCCTCACTGATTTACGGTAATCAAGAGGCACTGGATTCCAACATTGGGCTGGCAGACACAATGCCACATTCTACTCCACGGCTTTTGAACCTTCAAGAAACATTCTAGAGATGAAGAAAACCTATTGTAGCCTAAAGAGGATGGCAATGTATGGTCCCCAGTAATGACTTGATAAAGTTTCTGTCCCTAACAGATAAGCAATAAGTTCAAATCATGGAAACTGACTTGCTACTTAAAGCAAAAAAAAGTAATGTGCCAAGGAGACATTCAGTTTTTTCTTCCCCAGCTAAACCAAAACTCTGGGTTTCATTCTTCAATAGTCTAGATACGGTCAGAGATGTCAGAGATCATATGGACTGTTCCTTGAGCGTCCGTCCGGTCAACCATTGGCTTTAGTCAACAGCTTTGCCAGGGGACGGTGAAGAGGATACAACAAATGGCTTATGGAATGGAGACAGCCAAAGACCTCAAGCAGACCTTCACGCAGCTGGAGGGAGCTCTGGCCACGCTGCTTCAGCCTCTCACCACTTGCTTGAAACAATGTATAACCCAGCTCTCCTCTTGAGTCTGAGCACTCTGAATTCCCACAAGAAGTATCACTTTTCACAGAAGGAGAAAATCAAAACACATTTTCCTGCACATTCAAGGATGGGCGGTGGGAGAAAGTAGGGTCAGAAGGTTCACGGGGCTTTCTTGTTGTTTTGCCTGCACAACAGAGTGGGGCTTAAAGGTATGAACGCGAAAAGATCCCAAAAGGTTATCCTGAACCGAGGTATGCACACACCTCCACTGCGTGGACACCAAGGTTTCGCCTGCAGCCTGCAAGCTGTATTAGGAAATAAATACACACTGCGGTTATTAATAAGCCCAGTGTGACTTGTGCAGCCGCACTCAAGATGAGATGCATGGCTCCTAAGTGCATAAAAACTGCAATGGAAGAGCTGCAGAGCAAGCAGCACGCTGACGTCTCTGGCTGAGTCCTTGTGAGTGCCAGGATATGTTTTTCAACACAATTAATTGCAATAGCAAAGTTTATTAAGGTGCCAGGGCCAAAATCGATGTATTAATGGCACAGCATTATTGTGCTTAACCAGGCGATGGTAAAATGCACGTGGACGCTCTGGCAACAGAAGCTGTGGGTTCTACTTATGGTGAGCTAAGAGAAATACATATTAGACTTGGTTCCAGTCATTGCCCCCATTTCGGGGAATACCACCCAAGGAGTCCAGAAAAAGACCCCTACTAGCCTTCAAACACACATGCAACGCGAGAACGCATGGCTTCCACGATGTGGATGACGGACTGCTACAGACCTGGACATTGAGAAAAGCTTGCCATGGTAAACTTGTTTTAAGCAAAAGTTAAGACGGCAAACTTAACTGTGCATTTTACCTAGCACTTGGGTGAGACTTAACATGGCCCTTTGCAATACGCTTTGGTATTTGACACAATGGGAACATGAATGGCCATAATCCCAATGACACTGCGCTTACATGTGACTTTAGTTCTGTTTTAAAAGTCAATTTGGGCGCCACTGCGGCATTAGCCGTTTACTAATGGGACGCTGAGCAAGCAGTTTTGATCCTCACAGAGAAACACAGATCCACACAGGTCAGATCAGCCAATAAAGAATGTAAGGCATGCTGTGACACCAAGATTTCTAATAAGATGGGTTCAAGCAATGACTCTGACATCGTAGTGTCAAGCTGACTTCAACTCTGCAAACACGGTGTCCTACCCTTTGCTAATCCATGCATGCATTTTCAAAATATTCTCACATTTTTTCTCTATGAACCCTAAGGGACACACGCTGTGGTTGAAAACACAGGCGCTAAAAGGTGTTATCTCTGAATGTATATAGTCAGATGTTGCCCCAGGCACCACTCCTGTTTTCAAAGGGCAGAGACACACAGCTTCAGGGGTATACTGATAAACTAAACTGCTGGCCCAGGCTGTGTTAGGGACAACACTGAACCAATTAACAAAGTTTTTAAGGCATGGAATTTAGTTCCAACTTTAGCTTGTACTCTCTGACCAAGTTGCTCAAACAAATGTTATCACATAGGAAAAGGAACACAGATGTGTCCTATGAGGCTGAGGTTGAGACAAACTCAGCTATGGATATGATTTTGAGTTTAAAATATGACCGGTGCTTCCCAAAGAAGCACCGCAGTACATTTTACAGACAAAGATGCTCAATGACCAACTAGATAAGCTCAGGCACCACTGAGGGGCTAAGAAGACCTTGCAGCTCCTCAGCCTGATGGATATCCCCGACCTGCTCCTGCATCCTGACCACTCAGCCACACACCACCCTCAGTCCCCTGAGTATCAATGGGTTTTCAAACTGGAGGAAGGAAAATGAAGCCAGAGTAGGAACTCGGGTGTCACAATAGAATCAACAACTGTGAATTTAGTAAACATTAAAAAAATTAGGAAGCTGCCTTTGCATAGAAAAGAAGCCGCATCAGCCGGAAGAAAGAAAACCTGGAACGCTCTGTCCAAACTGTGGACTCCGTGTGTGCATCGGGCAGAAAGCTCTGGAAAGTCAGCAGGAGTGCTCTTTCCACTCGGAGATGCTTTCCTCTTTTTTCAGGCTGGTCTCAGAATATTAGAGTGAAACAACTAAAGTGGAAGTCAAGCACTGTCTCGTTTCTTTCTGCATTCAGTGTCTATCATTGAATTTTTTTTAAAGCTGCAGTATCTAGCCCTGTAAATGTACCTTCTTCATCTCCAACCACCCAAAAGGCTCTGAGTTCCACAAGCCCCCCCCCCCAATCTGACCGATATCTGTCTCTTCGAAAATGCAAGGGTTCTGAGAAAGGCCACAGACTCCTCAGACAAGCCCAGGCCCAGATAGGCATTGCCAGGGCCATACCCAGCCTACACTTCCACTGGGGTGCTGGGCTGCTTGTCAAATACTGAGAACCCGGCACCCTGGGCTCAGCTGTTCACAGATCGGCTCTGCTGTGCCAGGCCTGCACGCTCCCCTCTGCTCAGCTGTCGTTTCCTTCCCCCGGAGTTCTGCAGCATAGCCACCACCAGCAGAACAGCAAGGTTAGAAAGGACCCCCCACTTACATCAAAAAACCAAAACAGGTTATCTTAACGCCTTTGGCATTGGCCGACGCATTTGGCAGAAACACCGTTGTGCACTGGGGGAAGGGGGTGCATGCGCACTCGCCAACCGGAAGGCCACAGCCCAAGCCCTACTTTCAAGGCTGCCTTTCTCAGTCTCAAACGCTGTGACGATCACCCAGGAAACTTAGCTTTATAATCCTCTACGCCGATGAATAAAACCTTGTGTTCATGAGACATAAAACGCTGGGAAAAGAAACAACAGGACCTCCAATGCAGGTGACCTAGGAATCTGGGGGAAAGGACTGTTGAGTTCCTGCTTGGCAGTGTGTTTGTCACAAGACATCCAACAGAGAGAAAAAAAATAAATAAATACGTTTCTCTGCTTCTCCATCAAGCTGGGACAAGCCGTAACCTTTCTAGGCACAGGAAGGTCCAAGTCTAAAGCTACCATCCATTAGGGTACACGCTGCTTTGCCATGCAGCCTGGTCCTGCAGAATTATTCAACGGGCAATTAAGATTTATAATCCAAATGGTCTCAAAATCGTATCTCTGAGAAGTCAAGTCCAAATTAAATCAGCCCAGGCTTTTAGGTTCTCATGATCACATTTTCCCTTTTGAGCGAGTGCTTTTCGACACTCAGAACTTCTCCTCTTACAGAGCATTCTCAGAGTGTCTCTGGAAGCAATCTCCCAAGCAAAATCCGATAGATGCAGTGAAAAGGGACCCTCGTCAACTCCAAACCTTAGGAAAAGACATCAAAGGGGCACAGAGACCCTCACCCCCTCCAACTGATTTCTGAAAGCCAATGATTTTACCTTCCTTTTGTGTAAATATTACTGGAACTTCTCACACAACACACACATACACACCACACACACACATACACACACAGAGTATTTTACTAAACAAAAATGTTCCAGTATAATTGTCATATATGGACACCCTGAAACACACCCTTCAGAACTTTGAAATGAAAATGCATGCCGAGTTCCCTTCCAGGGGCAGAATTCACGTGCATTTATGATTATATTTCTTTATATATGAAATCTTAGTGTCACCCTTCCCCAGCTGACAGCCTTAAGCCAGTGAGACAGACAGGTAGGTGACAGATGCCATCCCTCAATTCTCACAGTGCCTGGGAAGGCATCCACATCCAGGGAATACACCTGCCTGAGCCCTGCAGCGGAGGACATAAAGAAAAAAAAAGTACAAGGAACTCACATTTCGGTGATGTTCTCCGGGTCGACACTGTTAGGTTCTAACCTTGGAAATGCCACGATGCCGGGAGAAGGCTCTGTACACCAAATCCTAGAGGCACTGCATTTGCAGGGCACGGGGCAGGCGAGAGAGGCCCTCCAGAAGCCCACAGCCAGCCAGCATAAGCGCCAAAGCCGCGCCATGGCGGGTCCATGCCACCTCGGCCAGGGCAACATCGACATCCCTAGCCGCCAGTGCCAGTCAGTCAGTCAGTCGGAGTGCGTGTCCCTACACTGAGCCTGGCGTCCCCCGCTGGAGGGGGGAGGCCTTCCCTGCGCGCTCTTGCTGTTCTGTGCCGATGGCCTCCCGCGGAGCGGAGTGTACCAGAGGTTGAGCCTGTCTGGGCTGAGCAGGTTGGCGCTGGCCGAACGGGTTCACAGCGGCCAAGACATCGCGGGCTGCTGATCCGAGCGACAGGGCTGCTGCATGGTCCTACACGCCAGGCACCACTCGGTGGATCTCCCTGGACTCTTTGGGTCGTAGAACCGCTAAACCGGCACGGATATCGGTGCGCACCTCAGGGCTGAGGACAAACAGACATGGATGAGACTAAGCGTAGTCCCTACACACCACCAACTGAGACACAGTCCCTCTGCGCTCTCCTCACTCCCACCAGACCCAAGCCTGTAGAATGGACGTCTGAGTGCTCAGCTCCCGCCCCGGAATCAACTTGCCCCACAGTGGGCCCCCGGTGTGCCCGCCCGCCCTCCAAGCCTGAGGCCGAGGCAGGGGAGGTCAGGAAAGAGCCTTTGAGAGCAGATCCCATGGCACAGGCCAAGCCAGGGACCCCTAAAGAGGACTCGGAGGCTGCAGCGGCGGCGGGGCCCCAGTGATGCTGCAGAATCCTCCCTGGCCGCTGGGCGCGGGAGCGGGAGGGGGGAGTGGGAGGGAGACGGGCAGGTGGCGAGGCACGTCCCACCTGGGGAGCAACTGCGGCAGGGGGACAGTGCCTGCCGAGGCCACCGAGGACTGTCCCTGAGGCTCACCCGGCCTCCCGCCCCAAGCGCAGGGTGCAGAGACCAGCAGCAGCAGCAGCAGCAACAGCAGCAGCAGCAGCAACTGGGCTCTAACCCGCTGCCGCCGCCGCCGCCGCCGCCTCTGCTACTGCTGGCGAAGTGACGTGAGGGCTGACGCAGAGCAGGGGCAGAAACTCCAGAAAATTAGTATGAAATCCAAAAACACACACGCACGCGCGCGCGCACACGCACACACACAACACACACACACACACACACGCGCATAGCCCAGCATAGCACCCTCCAGACAAAAGCAAGGCGGAGGGGAGGGAATCTGGGGGCGAGCAGGGAGGAGGAGGCTTGGTGCCAGCGGCTAGGCGCAGACAGCAGCATGTGGGAGTTCACACTCGCGCACACGCACACACCTTGGCGGGGTAGTTGTGTGGATGTGCGTGTGTGTGTGTGTGTGTGTGTGTGTGTGTGTGTCCCTTTAGACCCAGGTACCTCTGAAATGCAGCTTCCTTGATTCCCTAATTCTTACATCTCCTCCATACCACAGTAGAGGCTAGCTCCCCCTTTTTGAAATGGAAGCCGAGGTTGGTTAGGCTCTGAAAAAATGCGCTGATTCTTATTGTAGGAATCCTCCCTTTCCTTCTCCTTCCCCGCTGCGTTCTCCTTTCCCACCCCGCTCAAAAGGAAAGCAGGCTATTCCCAAAATATAGGGAATGCAATCTACACCCCCCCACACACACACACGAAAATAAATATATAATGAGGTGCGTTGGCAACCAAGGATCGTTGCCCGGTTCCGGACCACCTATTTAGGGGTGGGTGGTTCCAACGCTTTCCCTGACGGGGTTTCTGCCTAAAGAGCAGAGCCTGGAAACCCAAATGTAGCTCTGATGGGCCTTTCTCCAGCCATTTGCGCCATAGAAAGAGCCCAGCATGGGGACGGGAGCGCGCCTGCCGCGCAGTGGGTTCCTAAATGCTCTGCACCGACCCTGACCTCTGGAGTGGGTGGCTCCGCGTCATTCTTCTCTTCTTCTTCAACCTGGCAGGATGCAGCCATTCGAATATCACAGCTTCACTCCCCACGACACCCACCCCCACGCGGGGCACCCAAGCCCCAGTCCCCTGCCTTGCCGTACCTTGCGCGTGTTCACGTGCGCGCGCGCATGTGCGCGAACGTATACCCTGCGCCAGCGCTGTCCCCAGCAGGATATGCTTCCAGCTACCGAGAGGCCCGGCTCCGGCAGCGCCCTGGAGTCTCACTGGGGACACATGAGGCGATTCCGGAGGGTCGAGTGACAAACCGTAACTGCTGTGCGGGTTCAATTAAATGACCGCTATGGGCCATTCGTAAGCCTGGTCTGAGCCTCTTCTCACTATTTGCGGCTCTGACTGTCCGCCTATCCGCAGTCATTTAAAAGGGAATCCGGTAGATGCGCCGCAGTGCCTGACACTTCCGAGGGCTCTGGTGCCCCCGCGCGGGGAGAAGAAGCCCAGCACACTCAGACGCACCGGCCCAATGCCACAATTCCAATGCCACCATCTCACCGGGAACTGCAGGCGCGCTCCAGCACTAGATGAGCAACCACAGCGCCCGTATGCGCGCTGCTGCCCAGACAGAGGGCCTCTCACCCGACCCAGCCAATCTCCTGCCTCGGAAGTCCTCCGCGAAACACAAGACTATGTGCAAGACATAAGAATGGTCACCCACCTGCTAGCAAAGGCCAGGGAAGAGAAGGATGGAGGAGCCAGACAGTAGGGGCCAATGTTTGGGTCTCTGCACAGCCTTAACATCACTAGGAAGTTAAATCCGTCCAGCAGGGTTTTCTTCTAGATGCCACGTACCGAGTGCAGAAATACAAAACTCAGCAGGTCACCTCATCCCTTCACTGAGCCCTAATGCACGAGGACGCTGCACCACCAAGCTTCTGATCACTCCTCTGCTCCGCTTGAGACCTTTGCTGCCTTGGCAAGGCACAGAAGCCAAAGACAAACATGTCTTTGTCCAGGAGACACAGTGAAGCCCCCGCTTGTGTTGCCAGTGTCCTTTTAGGGAGAATTTTCTGTATATACGTGTGTGTGTGTGTGTGTGTGTGTGTGTGTGTGTGTGTGTTTATAGGTAGATAGACAGACAGATAAATAGATACCATTTACGTACTGCATATGTATGTATATATGTGGGTTAGCTGACCATGGCAAGATCAGAGGAGAAGTTGAAGAAGCCGGTTCTCGTCTTCCACCACGTGTGTCCTGGGCTCAAACTCAGCTCATTCTGGGCACCAAGTGTCGTTATTCACTGAGCTGTGTCACCTTCCTATCCCCCGTGTCTCTTAGGTAGAGAAACCCTTAGGGACCCTGAGGGGAATGAGGAGCAATCGCCTCCCTGTCTCATGACTACTCTCAGTCCTTGTTTTCCCCAGAAGATAAAAATGCCCATTTCTGTGGCAGTAACTGCAGTACTGATGCGGCACCCGAGACCAGCAGCTTTAGTGTGGTTTATAGACAGAAAGGGTCTAACGGGTGTTGGAATATTCACAGAATTCACAGAATAGCTGTGTGTTACTGTTACACTGCGAGCGTATGACTGCCTCATTTGAATTAGAATGGCCAGCCAGCTTTTTGCCCGGTGTCCCGTGCGCCCCTGCCTTTGTCCGTCATACTTTGTCCTTTAAACGTGTCACTTATGGAAACTGTTTAGAGGCAGGAATTGTTATCAGTTTTTACCCATTGACCTAGCTCCAGATCACAGTGGGTGATTAAAATGTGTGTTTAAAGGCAAACAGCAGAAGCTGAATTCGAAGCATGCCTCACCTAGGCTTTCACACGGCCAGTCATCTGCATAAGCCTTCCTGGACACTGTCCCTCTAGCAACCCCCCCCCCAGTCCTGTGCTCCGAGTTCCCGTATTCTCTCTTAAAGTCTTACTCTCTGCCTCCCTGGTAACCAGATGTGTCCTTCACTGGGCCAGGGAGGGCTTCTCCATCATTCACATTGGTAACTAATTCATACCATGGACACTGTCAGGACACATGGATAATTGCCAACTTAAGCTTATAGACCTGAAGATCTATATCAATTTCGAGACCTGAAAGCTGTTGCACAGAGATCATTTCAAGGCCCCCAGACCTTGGTTTTTTGAGGGCATGATAAATATTTTTAGGTGGATCGTGTGAAGTAGAGGTAGCTTCTCCCCAGGTCCCATCAACGAAGAGACGGGTTGCTGCAGATCCTGCCTGCGCTGAACCAGACATCTCTCCAGACATTCTGATCGTGAACCAGGGTAGCAATGCCAGGTGCATCATAACCCAGTGCACACACATACAAACGGTGCGCCTTTACAGTCTCCCTTACACACACACACGCGCACACACACACACACACGTGCGCGCGCGCACGCAAGCACGCACGTGCACACCTTGCCCTTGGTACATGAAAAAAATTATACAATAAAAATACTTTTTGTTTTCTGACATTCTGTTTTTATGGTGCTTATGAAAATCTAGTAAATTGATTCTAACATCAAATACTGGGTTGTAAAAAGTCACAAAATGCTCTTGTTTCTGGCTGAGGATCAATATCCCAACCAAATAACTAACCAACTAGATACAGATATAGATATATAATGGGGGGTATAAACATATATGTGTATATATATGAAACAACTTTTTTTTTAAGAAAGTGGACATCAGACAACAAAGGGAAGGCTTTAGCAAAGTCTCAAGAGTCAAGAAAAATTAAGGAAGGTGGAGCACTCAGGACAGAGTAGAATGTGTGGAAAGCCAAGAATTCTCAATCCTGATTAGCATTCAGAGGTGATGCTACCTTTAGGCTGGAGAGGGAGCTACACAGATGGAAGGGAACTGCGTCAACGAATCGATAGTTGATGGGAAGAATGCTACACACTATAATCTGATGGGGGACGTCCTTCTGTATATATACTCCTCTTATTGGATGATGAGTAAAACACTGTTTGGCCAATAGAGGCAGGAAGATAGGCGGGACTAGGAGATGAGGAGAGAGAGGCACACAGAGAGATGCCATGTAGAAACCAGGAAGATAGGACGCTCCAGGCATTCTCCGGTAAGACAAGACCATGTAGAAATACATAGATAAGTAGTTATGGGCTAATAATTAAGAGAGAGCTAGCCAATAAGAAATGCTAGCCACTAGACAGCAGTTTTATAATTAATAAAGCGTCTGTGTGCTCATTTGGGGTTGAGAGGGGTGGCCAGACCTGGTGGGACAAGAAACTCCAGCAGCAATACTCCAGTACCAGAAAAGAACAAGTGTCTCTAATCACTGGCAGTGACTGTGAGCTTAGGAACCAGTATGCAGAAGAGATGGAATAATGCAAATGAGAATGAAAAATAACAAGCGAACGACAGTAGTGGGAAAAAAAAAACAAAATCAAGGTCTTGCTCTTTAAGAGGGTGAATACTGAGAAGCACCCAGAGAGGACAGCTGGAGCCGTGGCTCACAGAGGACCTGGTTTAGTTCCTAGCATCCATGTGGTTAAGTGACGACTCTCTGCAACCCCAGTGCCAGGGGCTCTGCTGCCCTCTTCTGGACTCCTGAGGCACTGCATGTGCAAGATGCAAACATACTCACTCATTCAGGCAAGCATTCACATAAATAAAATATATCAATCTCTTTTAAAAGAGAAAAATAGGAACAATAAGAACAAATGCAGCGATAATCCCCAGATGATTTATGAATACTAACAAAACCTGTGCGTTTACTGTGAACAAAATCAGGCAAAGAAAAATGATGACATAAAATAAGAGACACAAGCCAACAATGCTCTCTATACATGAAATAGATGGCCCAAGGAGTCCTAGTTCTCACACAGGCATGAATTTATCTTTTAAAATCTTCCTACACGGGGCTGGCGAGATGTTCTGTGAGTAATGATGCTTGCTCTGCAAGCACGAGGACCTGAGTTCAAATCCCAGTACCGATGTAAATGGCTGCGTGTGGCTGCAAGCCCTGAACCAGGCGTGGAGACAGGCAGGTCCCAGGAGCTCAGCTGCCAGCCTAGACAAAGGCAAGCTTCCTGCTCAATTGAGATCCTGTTTCAAAGCAGTAATTCAGAGTGGCAGAAGAATACATTCAGCATCCTGCTCTGTCTTTGTGTGTGCGCACAGCTACTCATGCACATGTGTGTATCACTACTACCCTGTTGCACATGCGCATGCACACACACACGCACATGCACACATCTTCCCACAAAAAAAAGATCCTAGGTCCAGATAACGTCACTAGCAAATTCTACAAAACATGAGAAAATGTCACCAAAAACTAGCCACATTCTTCCAGAAAATGAAGAGGAAGGAACACCTTCCCATACATGCTATTAAGTCAACATGGTTATGATATTTAAATCACAATAGCTAACTTCCGTTCTCGCCAATACACTAAGGATTCTCCTTTCTCCTGCTACTTTGCTAGTCTTTCTCATTATTTTTTTTAATTAAAGACATTCTAACGGAGGTGAGATAGTGTCTTACTTACTTTTCAATTGCTGTGACAAAACACCATGACCAAAGCAACTCATAAAAGAAAATGTTTGATTTGGGCCTCATCGTTCCATGACCATTGTGGTGATACATTATTTGTGATTTATTAAAGCTTGCCTGAGGATTCAGAAAGAAAAGTCAGCCTCAAGCTAGAGAGGCCAAGCAGCGGCGGCACACACCTTTAATCCCAGGACTCGGGAGACAAAGGCAGATGGATCTCTCTGAGTTCAGGGTCACCCAGGGCTACACAAGATTGAATCAGTCCAAGAGAGTAGGAGAGCTCACACCTCTAACCCCAGCACTAGAGAGGTATAAATGACAGGAGCAGGGTCTTCAGTAGTCAGTCTCAGGAGTCTTTAGTCACACCGAGACGAGCACAACAGTCTCAGTGAGTCTGAGGAGCCGTGAAGTCAGGAGCAGTTTGAGGACCGCCCCTCTGGTCTGAGCTGAGGCAGAGGTGAGAGCTGGTGGCTGGCTGCTTTGCGTCTCTGATCTTCAGCCTGAAGGCTTGGGCCCCAATATCAGTCCCTGGGTCTTTTATTTTTCATGTTTCATGTTACAGACCATCATGGCCAAGAGCACGGCATCAGGCAGGCAGGCAGGCACGGCCCTGGAGCAGTAGACAAGAGCTCACAGCTCAATCCACAAGTGTGAGGCAGCGAGAGCTGACTGGGAATGATGTGGGGTTTGGAAACCTCAAGGCCTGCCCACGGCGACACAATGCCTTCAACAGACCACACCTCCTAATCCTTCCCAAGTAGATCCACCTACTGTGTACCAAGCATTCACTTATGGAAGTGTATGGGGCCATTCTCATCCAAACCACTGGAGATTGCATCTCGTTGTGTTTTTAATTATGGGCACTCAAGCGTCAGTGATACTGAACATCTT